TGTATTTTAGTGAGATGAGTAAGACAGAGGGAAGATTCTTCCAGCCACTTAGAAGTGAAGGGGTACAGTTTTAGAGCTAAGCTTTGTGAGGTTCAGTTTTGTCTTGTCTTGGATAAGTCATTCCAGCATCTTACACTTTTTGCAGTGCTGCCATGAGGAATAACTAGATAATTTATAAAAGAGCTAAGGGACTTCTGAGTATGATTGCTATGCTGAACAAATTTTAGCTGCATCATCATTACCGTTCTCATATAGCCATTGTTTTCCTGGTGATGGTTGTGTCAATGTCAATCATTTTTCCTACTACAATAAGATACCAAGTCTGGATAGTTTATAAACAATAGAGATTTTCCCTGCTGGTCTGGGGACTGTAGAGTCCAAGTTTGAGGCACTGACTGGCTGATTCCTTGTTGCAGGGAGCCTCATCTCTTGCTTTCAAAATGTTGCCTTCCGCAGTATCCTCATCAAGCAGAAGGGATGAGCAAAGGAAGGAGACACTGTGTTGTTTCATACTTCCATGAGGGAAGAGTCCTTGTCCTGAAAGGTTCTAACTCTTAATTATGTTGCATTTGCAGATAAGATTTCTGTATGAAATCCTGGAGAGGATTTAAACAGTTAATCAGTACTAGTCAGTTCCTATATTCCTTGCCCAATTCTTGTTTATTGTTGTGTCCAAAATATCCTCATTCCATCTCAGTGACCTCAGTGTCTTAACTTGTACCAAATCAACCCGAAAGTCCAAAGCCCAAGTCTCATCTAAATCAAACAAGAGAGAGACAAGTTGTGATTCATCCTCAGGGAAATTGCTCTACAGCTCTGGGTTCTTGTATGACTCTAATACAGTGGTTGGTTACATATAGGTTAGGTATATCCATGCAAAACCACAAAAGCCAATAATAAGAGATAATCAGATTCCAAGTAAGTCCCAAACCCAACAAATCCAACTACTTTAATTCTGATGATTGAAAATGATCTTTGTTCTGTTTTCTAGGCAGGTTGAGGTAGGTGTTGTGTCTACAGCTTTTCTGGGTGTAGCCCACATTGCAGCACTCATGAATTGAACTGGAGTACCTATAGCTTTCCTAAGCTATAGTTTCACATGGGGAACACTTTTTGAGAATAATCTCAACCCCATGGTTAAGCTGAGACTTTCCCAAGTGGAATAGGCCACCTTTATGCCATTCCTGTCCTAGTGGGGATGCAGATGCAACCCCATGAGAGCCTCATCCTCGTCCCTAGAACTTGTCATGGCATCCTTTGAAACTTAGTGTACACAGTCATACCTCTGTAGCCCTTGAACTCTGTGTGCTTGCAGAGTTAGTACCCCAGGATGCCCTCAAGGCATCCTTAAGCTTTCCAGAGATGTAACCTGAGCCACACATGATGTCCAACAGGGATATCTACAAAGTTCTGCAGTGGAATCTGGAAAACAAAGGCTCAGGTGATTCTGGGTAGCATTCTGTCTGCAAAGCCCTGGTTTTCTGGACCTAAAATGGGACTAGTAGCTTTGGAAGTCTCCCAAATGCCTCAGGGAGCACTCTTCTGTTCTTTTAATGAATGCCACCTGGCTTCCTTCTGTTCATACTAATCTCGTAAAATGTTTCCTTGATCACACCTCTGGCTTTCTCATACAAACCCATCTTTTAACCATTTACATGACTAAGATCAGAATTTTCCAAATCTGTTTAGTACCACATCCCTTTGGAATATAAACTTTATCCACAATTAAGTCTCTCATTGCCCAATTTACTATAATTTGTCTTGAAGGATGTGGCAAATTTAACTTTGCTTAGATGTTTCCCTCACCAAAAATTCTAACTTCATACATTGAAATTCTGCTTTCCACAAATATGAGAACATAGACCGAGTTCAGATAAGTTCTTTGAGGGTAGCTTGTCCTTCCGTATCTAATGCACTACTCCAAGTTTTCATCTGAAATCTCATTGGCATCACATTCACATTTCCCCCAGGCTCACAGTCATCTCCAACACTAAATATTTTCCTAAAGCTCTCTTTTGAATCTTCACCCAAAAGCTCTATTCATTGCAATATGTGCTTTTTCTAGAATTCATTTCTGTGCTACCACAGCCTCTCCCCATCACTCTACTTCTGAAGCCATTGCCAAGTATTTATTGTACATCTTAGCAACACCTTATTTCCCATACCAATTTATTTATTAGACTATTTCTGCTGTTATGATAAAGTATCTTAAATTGAATGACTTATAAACATCCAAAGTATTGTTCTCAAGAGGTTGGCAAGTCTAAGATCAAGGCAAAGATAGGTTTGCTGTATGTAAGGGCCCTTTCTCTGCCTGTGATTTTGTGTCTTGTTTACCATGCTCTTACATGGCAGAAGGGACAGATGGGTGAGATAAGCTATAGGTAGTTGTCTGTAATCATTTTATAAGGAGCTAATGTCCACTTCATTAGGCCAAGTGTTCATAGTTTCATCTCCTTTGGAAAAAACCTATTATTACTATTATTGCATTGGGCATTAAACTTTGACATACATTTTTGAAGAAATGTGAACATCATACCTATAACACTTACGTTGTCTAGGAAGGATGGAGGAAACAACTATGGTATAAGACATGGAGGGGCACTTACAGGAATGTGAATGCTGCAATAGTAAATGGTGAAAGCTCCACAGAAAGGGAAGAGGTGAAGTCTAGAAGCTGATAGCCAGGACAACAGTAAACTAGTGGTATCCCAGACCTTTCCAAGAATTCTTGAGGCCTGCACTCAGGTTTAGACATTGTAGAATTTTAGCAAATTCGAAGAGGTACACAGTGAGGCAAAGTGTTGGGAGGCATCTTAATACCTGTGTGGATTTTGTGGTAGTCTAAGCAGTTGGGGGAACCCCTTATGTTAATGGTTTTCCTGTGTCCTCTAATATGCTGGAGCAGTTCATGGTCCATAGCAACCAAAATCTGTATTTATTATTTAAGCATCAATGTTCCAGGTTGTGTGTGAGGCAATCTGTGAAAAGGACAGCAATGTGAGTTTCTGTGTAGAACTATATTTTAATCGAGTTTCTGTGTAGAACTATATTTTAAGAATAGCATATATTTGGGGGTCCTTAAATGTCACCCCATATATGGGATCTCCTTTACTTTAGGACAAAATAGGGGTGAAAACTGGATAACTGTGAATGAATTAAGTGCTATCAAGCTATGCATTACAGAGAAGTTTAATTATAGTAATTTCATATCAATTAAAAATTATCACCACTATGAATAATAGCAATCAGGAAGTTCAGGTGAGGAGCAGAGAGGTATATGCAAATTTCTGTTAAAGTTCTAGTTCTATGATGTTTAAAAAATGTGGTTCCTAGATAGCAATAGCACCACGAAACTTATTAGAGAAGACAATCCATTGGCATTAACCAAACTCAATTGAATCAGACATGAGGCCCAGAAGTCTGTGTTTTAATAAGCTATCTAGGTGATTCTGAAGCATACTAAAATTAGTTTTTGTGATTAGCAGGAATGCTTGTATGTGTTGATTTTATAATTAAAATAGAATCAAATCAAACAAACAAATGCATAGGGTCATGCAAGGTCCAAGAATGTCTGTGGGTCCAGGCCCAGGAGTTACATTTTAACCTGAAGGAATTTTCCACAAACCATCAATCTCATTATGTCAATACCCACTTCTGAGCCAATACAAAACACTGTAAATTAATAACAAGTATTTTAGTAAAATAAAAATAAAGGTTCTGAAATTTTAAAGTAAGGAATAAAATCTCATTTGAGAGTAGAGTCCTGGGATAACCCTGAACACCAAGGAATAAACAGGGTCTCCCATCTTCATTTACAGCTTGAACTTTGAATTGGGCTTTTCCCCAGGCTCTGCTTTATGCTGAGCCTAACATGTGCTCTACCTGACAGCTTGGAGAACTTGCGTTGGGGTCTTTCCAAACTGTGAAGAAGAGGAAGAGAACCATGGGGAAGGTCATCTCTTTGAATGAGGAGTGATGGGTGGATTTCAATAGAGATGTTATACCCCTCTGCTCCAAGCAGTTGCTGGGGATGGCTGCCAGCTTTGGACAGCAGTAAGGGGATTGGCTGGTGTCCAGCATGGGCTTGGGCTTTGGTGAGAAGGGAGCATGTGCCAGCAGTAATTGCCTCTGCAGCAGTGTGGTTGCTATTGTCCCCCTGCTATTTTCTGTGAACAGGCCATGTTATCTTCTTCTGTGAATATTACTTTCCCTGGAGTTAGGATAATTGGACCGAGAGCAGCCCTCCACAGAGATGTGCCTTATTGGCAGGACTTTTCTACAAACCTGGGCCTGGGGACCATTTCTTGGAGTGGTTCTGTGTCATTTAATGAAGGATCCATTCTCTGCCAAGTGAGGTGGCAAAGCTCATTTCTGTCCTCCTACCTCTGAGCTAGCAGAGGTTTATGAATTCCATGTCTGGATTTTTCCTCTTACCTTTAATGTCTTTAATGGGCTTACATGTGGGAAGGATCAATAAGCATCTGTTCAATGCACGGATACATGAACATGAATGGAGAAGTGTGACCAAGTCAGAAGTGAAATTAAATTTCACGGTAAGGACACATTGAGCCTTGCTAATCATTTAGATTCTGAAAAATGCTTATGATCATGGTGATATGGCTGTAATGTATTAACCGATTATTAAAAATAACCAACACTGGACAAATAGATCAAAAATGAAACTGATCCTGACAGTCTCTTAGTTTGCAGTTGAAAATACAGTTTAGGTGTGTTTTATCTGCAAATCATAGTGACCAAGTACAGATTCAACCTGTGTTTTTACTTAGAAATGTAGGAAAATGTGAATGGCTATCATCATTGTACCCTGATTGCCTCAGCACCATGATGTGGAAATGCTCAGTGCTCCAGAGACTCGAAATTAGCATAAGACATAATTAGAAAGGTATCTTTGAGCATACTGTGATTGCTTCTGAGCAGGACAGTACTTTCCAACTTGTGGAACTATCTGATCTCTTTTTCTTTTCCCTGTGATCCAGGTAACCGTAGGCGGAAGAGCCAGCTACTACGTGTCCTATCGAAGAGAAGCCTTTGCCCAGATAAAGCTGCCCAAGTACTCCTTGCCAAAGGTACTACATGCAGTGCCTGCTGTCCCGAGGCTTACCTGACAGTGCCGTGGATGGAGAGGCTACCTCCATGGGATTCAGGAAGCCACTGGCATTTAGTCTGGAGAGTTCCTGAAGGGTTCTGGTCATTGTTGCTGGTGCTGAGCCTGAGTGCTGTATTCCTTTCTCAGCAGCATGCCAGGCATGGGTTCGATTTCCTATAACTCAAGCATGTGGCATGGTCTTGGGCTCTTTGCCAAGAGTAGGAGAGAGAAAGGAATACTGGCTTTGCAATTGGTCTCTTCGGAGGGGTCTCCTTTCCATAGAGGTGATATTGACAACCACAGGGCAAGTTTGCTAGGCAGGACAGCTGCTACAGTGTGAGGGTACACAGTACGTCTGGTGGTGGTCTCGCTTCTCTTTACATTTTAAGAGTAAATATGAACTCTCTACCTATGTCTCCACTCCACTCTGTCACCGAGGAGATAGATAAAATGGCCTAAATTACTGGAGCAATAAGATCTAGTGGTGACATTTCACCTCTCCATTGATTATAAACCTTGTTCTGTGGATGCCATTTCTTGTAAACACCAGCTTCTAGGTAAATTCACTGTGAACAAAATCAGAATGTGATGATACAGTCTTACGGGACAGCAGGGAAGTTGTCTCGTGATGTGCGCTTACCATTTCTCATGACAAAAAGACGCCAGCCTCTGAGATGAGGCTAAGAAACACTGTGAAAGAGTATCTCCGTGAGGACAGAGGAGGGCTGTAGGGTAAGAAGATGCATCACTTTATATCCCCTGGCATTTTATCTTCAGTTATTCGTGTACGGAGGTGTTCATTCCAGCTTGTTCTCGTGTGTTCCTTCTTGTTCCTCACATTTTTAACTTTTCTTCCATTTAAGTGGGCAGTCTGTGTTAAACTTTGAATTGTTTAAACGTCATCTTACTGATGGAAAATTTTAATTATAAAACTTAATATCTCCTTATTATTTTCCAAAATTGTTCATTTTTCATGTTTTTAATTGGAACAGAATGCCATCATACCCCTTCATTTCCTTCCTCCTTCTCCTACCAGATACCCCCTTTGAAGCCCTCTCAAACCCCCCAACTCTCATTGACACCCACTTTTTCTTTGGCTATATTTGTTATATGAGTGTGTGAGTGCAAAGTTTTAGAAATACAACCTGCTGTGCCCATTATTTTGTTTGTCTGTATATGGTTTTTAAGGCTGATAACTCTGAATTGGTGGCCTGCTAAGTGGACCATCCCGGGTAAGGCTGATTTCCTTTCTCCCAGCAGTCAGAAGGGGTATAGTCTAGCTTCCATGACTTGAAATACTGGACTGTTTCAGCAGTAAGAAAACCGAATATGATGTTAACGGGTTAAAATTGGGTTGTAGCTTCCCTAGATGTTTTCTACATGCATTGACTCAACTTCTTGAACCCTGCGTATTTTATACATATCAATTTTCATACTCAATAAAAATCAAATAAGTATAAATGTAATAAAATATTTTAAAATATTTTTAAAAATTGAATTAACAGCCAGCCATTGGTGGTGCATGCCTTTAATCCCAGCACTCCAGAAGCAGAGGCAGGTGGATCTCTGTGAGTTCAAGGCCAGCCTGATCTACAGAGAGTGTTCCAGGACAGGTTCCAAAAAATACAGAGAAACTCTGTCCCGAAAAAACAATGCAAACATTTCTCTTGCCTGCTAGAGCTTTTAGTATGGTAGACATGCAGCATTAAATATGCCATGTAAATATAAGATATGTCTAAGGGCCATTTTTGGATTCAAGGTCCTGATACCTGAATGTAGAGAGTGAGGACAAATTACTTGAGAAAGTTGTGTTTAAGATAATATAAGAAAAAAATAAGAAATTCAGCCTATAAATGAGGGTAGGGAGGAAGCACAAGACTGATAGGTGTTATAGTCTTATTTTATTATTTCAGAGGGATTGGATGTCAAAATTCATAGATGACTAAGTCTCTTGTGTAGCTAGCTAGCAGGGCACATAGCATTTTCATATAACCTGTGCAGACCTTTCCTGAATACTTAAAATCATCTTTAAATCTCGTGCTGTATTTTTCAGGGATCACTAGAAGGAATAGAACGCTCTATTTCTTTAGCAAAGGTACAGAATTAAGTGCACTTGGTCTCTGGAGGCCAGGGGTAGGGAAGATCAGCTACACATGTAAAGGCCTTGTTTGAAGAGCCACTGCATGACCACTGCAACAGAGTTAAAATACCTGGTGAAGTTTGGCTGCAGTTTGGCAGAAGGGCCATAGCAAAGGGCAGATCCCATACTAAATAGCCTTGGGGATCATGGGGAATGGCTTCTGGGTGCACGCTTGCCTCTCTATGTCTGTGTCTTGGTAAATTGCTCACTGTGGTGGCTGCAGGGTATACCCACCAACTTGTCTAAAGCCAGCCAGTAAACTGGTATCAGAGGATGAAAAAGGGAACATTCAGCTATGAGCTTCCTAAGGGAGAACTCTGTGGTTCCTCACCCAGGGCCCCAGCCTGCAAGTTTCCCTAAAGTATGTGTTTCTGGAACCTTCCAAACCATCTCTCCACGGTAAGGGCATGTTTACCTCAGTGCATATTTTATGGAATTTTAACCTTATTAGGAAAGCAACAGTTTGGTCCCTATGGCATGTGGCTGCAGGTGGGGTACAGATGAAGCCCTGAATTGATTTCCACCCATCCAGAGCACTCCATTAACTGTCAGCAACCCTGTGGTGACTTACTGAGGGGGCATTGCAAAGCACTCATGCAGCCCTTTCATAGAGGTGCATCCAGATAGACTTCTCATTAATATGAGACTGCTGTGACAGTAGCTGGATGGTGATCGATCATTTTATTAGCTGGTGTTGGCCCAGATATTCATAATCATGGCTAGGGAGTTAGGGGCAGAGGGGTTGGCAGGAGGTTAGTTCTGCCCATTGTTTGAAAAACTGAAGTGACTTTAAGCATATTGGTGCTGCTCCATGCAGTGCTATTGCTGCTGTTATGTGCCTTCAGGGAAAACAAAATGATAGACAGAGAAGTCTCCTGTAATCTTGGCACCTCACACTTCCATTCCAAGTCTACCTTTTCATATCATGTACACCTGGACTTGAGAGTATTTTGCCGAGAGGGAGGTTAACAATGAACAGCATAGTTCCATTTCTGGGACTCTTACCCCATAGACATGAAACTTCTGCACCAATCGCAAGGCACGGTGTGAAAGGGTAAGAGCAGGAAAAGATAGCTGGGCTTTTTAGCAGAAACCCAAACATTCCTGTAAGCTCAGCCACTTACCCAGGAGCTTGTGTCTGCGCATGGGCAAAATTAGATGACAATACTGACATGTGACTCGCTGCTGGTCCAGTGTAGGTGCTCATTAAACGATGAGGGACAACTGTTACCTAGGGGGCACAGTTCTGGTGCCCTTACCCTGCCTGGCATGCAAGTTAAGATTATGATAGAATTGTATCTCAGACAGTATTGGCCTCCATATTACCTAAAGCTGTCACTGTGACACTCTGAATCTCACATAGCCTTTTTGGTTCTACATTTTTTCTCAAGTTGCAACTCTAAAACTTATTTCTACAGGAGAAAAGTTCTGTTTCTTTCTTTCCTCAAGTGTATTTGGGTTCTAGTGATACCCCCGATCTCTGCCTGAGCCTCATGATTCTGGAAAACTGCCGAAGTGTAGAAATCTTCCTCCATTTTAAGTCTTTGGGGAAAGGCTTATCACAAAAGAACTACTTTCCATGAGACTTGATGAGACTCAGATGTCTTCTCTCACGGGGCAGATTTGCATTCTTGATTTCATAGGTGATCAGCTGGGCTCCTGTCCTACTAACCATTGTGGACAAACTGCCTGATGATTTGACTCGACCAAAATTGTGTCTGTCTTTTCTGTTGTCCTCTGTCCTTGAAATGTGCTCACTTTCGAGTTTATACTGGCCACAGAGAGCATGGGCACAGAGTGCAGTAAGGGGCAGTGATCTGCCAAACCACGGAGCATCTCGGAGCATCACTTGGTCGCAAAGGAAATGCCTCCTTTAATTGTTCCATCTTCTCGCTCTGCTACACACCCAGTCCTTACTTTATTTTTGATTTCTTTCTTAATTATTTTTTACAATTCCAATCCCAGTCCTTCCTTACTCCTTTCCTCTTGCTCCCTTCAACGCCAACCCTAACCTCCCATCTGCTCCTCAAAGAGGGTAAGGCCTCCCCTAGGAAGTCCACTAAATCTGACCCATCATTTCATTGAGGTAGGCACAAGGCACCTCTCCACCCCCACACCCCTGTGTCTAGGCTGGGCATGGCATCTCTCCATATTGAATAGGCTCCACTAAGTCAGTTTTTGCATTAGAGTTAGATCTTGTACCCACTGCCAGTGGCCTCACACCATTGTTACCTATAGTAAGGGAGTCTAGTTTGATCTTATGCAGGTTCCCCATTTGTCAGACCTGAGTCTGTGGTCTCTCACTAGCTGGGGTCAGCTGATTCTGTGGGTTTCCCCTTCATGGCCTTGACTCCTTGTTCATATTATCGCTCCTCCCTCACTTCTGTTGTACTCCAGGAGCTCGACCCAATGATTAGTTGTGGATTTCTGCATCTGCTTCCATCCAATTCTGGAAGAGGGTTCTAGCTTCTGTGGGATTGTGGATTGTAGGTTGGGTGTCTTCTGCTTTGTGTCTGGTATCCATTTATGAGTGAGTAAATACTGTATTTGTCTTTCTGGGTCTGCATTACCTCACTCGGGATGTTTTTTTCTAGTCTGTCTATTTACCTCCAAATTTTAGGATGCTATTGTTTCTTAACACTGAGTAGTACTCCATTGTGTACTTCTTTTTTTTCCTTTTTATTCATTCTCTGGTTGAGGGTTATCTAGCTTTCCAACTTCTGGCTATTACGAATAATGTTGCTATAAACATAGCTGAGCAAATGTCCTGTGATGTGAATGTGCCTCCTTTGGGTATATGCCCAAGAGTGGTACTGCAGGATCTTGAGGTAGGTTCCCCT